TGTAGCTACATATTGGCTGCCATCTTCACATTATCTCCCAGATAGACAAGCTGTGCCTGAAAGTGATAAGGTCATGGAGAAATAACTTGGAGTGAAATAGACATTAGATTCTAGTACATCAAATCTGAACAGCAATTGATGGATTATTAGCACTCCATGCTGTTATTTTATTTTTATTTTTTAGCATCTGGACCCAATTACTGCAGGGGTCGGATCTCAGATAAAATAAAAACATGGCTCTGAGTCACTAACACATTTCTGATGTACCCAGAGAAACTGTAATATAAACACATCTTGACAGATCCACACGTTAATAGGATCACATCTCTCTTTGCATTTCAAGGGCTTCCTAAGATTAATAGAAAGGTTTGTTACAACAGGAACATTATAATTAGAATCAGGCTGAAGGAACTGGAAAGTGAAACAAAAACAGCATGGATACTACTTAGGAAAAACTGATCACTTTTAGAACATACCAACATGGTCAATTTATTTGCTTATTTAGCCTGTGCCACCTGCTCTGACTGGCCACAACTCTTGGGGTCTCAGAGTTAGTAGAATAATTTCAAAAATAGAGTGAAATTTTGACTGAATACAGGTGAAGTGACACAAACAGAATGCAAATGGTTGCCCCCCTCTATATTAAACATATTTCAATTAGGAATTCTTGGGTGCTGCTTACTAAGTCCTGGAAATCAAAGAAAAGCAAAACAATGGTGAACCAATGGACAAACAGTAGTGAACCAATCAATTTGGGACAAACAGATTTGCCCAATCTATTATCCCTTGCTAAGAGAAGAGTTGCTCATGGATTTGGCATTGTTGCTTGATGTATAGATTGCTTGGTGAAACAGCTGCAGCACCTCTAAGTTAACAAAGGCTCTGCAAAACCTGTTGTGGTGACCACCAGCTTAGATTACAGTACTTTGGGTTGGTCTGCCTTTAAAAGCTATCAGAAAACTCCCACCAGATTTTGAATGCTGTGGCCAGACAGTTGAAAAAAGTAACTAAAGGACCCATGTTACTCAAGTCTTCAAGAATTTGTATTGATTTGTAACTGAGATTTTGGGCATCCTGAAATGGTTGCCTAAAGGAACACATTCTCTCATCTCAACAATCTCTAATTTGAAGAGTCTGTTTCAACATTCCTAGAACTCACTAAAATATAATGCGAGGTGAGCAAGAGAAGACCTTTTGAAATCCCTTTCAGTTAAATGCCCTGCTATCATTTTGGAGAACTTTTATTTAGAAAAGTGTCCTTCCCAGCTCTCCTTCCTTCCTGGGCTGAGTTGATTTCGCGCTGGTGAAGAATTTTGCTTACGTGTGTCTCTTCTATTTATTGTGCTTAATGGTTCTTTTAATGTTGTTCTTTAAATGTAGTTTGATTGTACATCATCTTATGGACTTTATTCATGAACCATTTGGGGGAGCCCTGCTAAAAAGCAGGTCAAAGTAGGAATTTACAAGAAGTTTGCTGAGAGTTTCAGCAAAATATGCCTGAACAGATTAGTACTTCTGTTCATAATTCCAGGCCATCATGCCCCCTTGTAGGAGGCTCCATTTCTGTCCTCTACCTTACTCTGCTTTCTTTCTCACCTCCCCAATAGTCAATGTTCCACACTCAAAGTATGCTTGGTCCTCAGTGACTTGTACTGGGTCACTTCCCTTTTTTTTCTTAAATATGTTTGCAAAAATGCCTTTGGGCTTAAACTTACTGATGCTGTTTCTGGACTGATGACACTGCTTGGCTAAATAAAGATTCACAATTAAGGATTGGATTTACTGTTAGAGAACAGTACTAACAGATTATTCAGCATTGCTTAGTGTCAGAAAATAAATCCAATAAATATTTTATATGCTAGATGCTGCACTTGATCTTAGCCAAAAGGCTGAGAAACAACCTTCTTATATGAGCTTGCCAAAGGAATCTTTCAAGAGACATCCATTAGATGGTGCTCCAGCTGTAACTTCTGACAATTCTAGGCCTGTGCACCTACTGGGGATGAAATGGTTATTTTGTTAGATTTATAAATGGACATTGTTAAGTAAAAGTAACACAGCATGCATGAGGCAGTCTAAAATACTGTATGTTCATTTGCTGTCAAAAGTGACTGCAACCACAAATGCATTTCAAAATATTTTCCTTCAAACTGTTTACTTAGATTAGATTATGTCCCACTGTCATATGGGCTAGGCAAGTTATTATGAGGGGGGGGGGGCAGGGGAAGAAAAACAATTATTGGTACCATGGTAACAGAATCAACAATACCAACATCAACAAACTCCACAAGCAAATTGGCATTTTGCTTTCAAAGCACTGTGAGCAATATCTCATGGCAATGTTTTATTAGATTTTTCTCTCTAATAACACTGTATTATATATGCGTAGGAGAAATAGTACATCCAGAATAAATATTAGCCAAAGGAACATCTGAAAAGAGGAACGTAATTTGGATTTTTTAAAAAATGGCATGTTCTCCGTTTCATCAAAACTGAAAATGGTTACCATTTAGAACGGAGGTGGAAAAGGGTGAGGGAGAGAAGCTATAAGAATAATATTTTACTTCCGCTCAGTTATATTCACTGAACTCTTGTGATTCTAAATGCAATTATTAAATGCGGACATTTGTTCCTGTCCAAAATCCTTCATAACATAGTTGAGTGTATGACCGTAAATCACGTATACCTCCTAGTTGGTGGCTTGCAGGGATGGCATGTTGGCTCACATGGTAGTCACTAGTTTAGAGGTCATAGCCTGCATAAAACAACATGAGCATACTTCATGTAAAAGGGGGCTTTGCTTGCACTTGGGGCATGCAGGTCAAAATATGCCCCAACTCACCAATACTGTCCTTATTCTCAGCAAGGAATGCTATTATGACATGGATATAGCTAATGCTGGTCAGCTAGTCTATACTTTCTCTATCATACTAAAAAGTGTCATGCAAAAGCCTGGATTGATGGGACAGTACAGAAAATGTGATAGGGCCAGTTGGATACCCATGAGAATAACTGTTGGATGACTATCTGCTTGCTTCAAATATGTGGTTGAAGCAGATGTCTATTCAAATGTCTACATACAAAGTCATAAATATAAAAGCACGATTGATCTAAGGGTTCTTAGCAGCTCACAACATTCCCATCTCTAAGGCCTACCGAAAAAGCCACTTTTCAATGCCGTTTTAAAACCCTGCAGAGTAAGGGCCACCCCAATCTCCTGGGAAATGCTACTCCAAAGAAAAGGGGCAATTGAAAAAACCTGCCTCCAAGGCCCCTGAATTCTAGGAGTTAAAGTCCACACATTTTAAAGTTGATAAGGTTGAGAAACCCTGGTTTAGAGGAATAGAATGCTATACGGAGGTATATAGAATGGTGTTTGTGTAAAATTCTTTTTCTTGTCTCATGCTTTTAATTTCTTTGTCTTACTCTGTTTCTATGCTCTGTAAACATTGTTTACCCTGAAAGAGAATAGAATGATGTATATTACTTATGTTGTTGAAACAATGTAATTAGGGTGGGATGGGAAAAGAGAAAACTATTCAAAATTGCATTAAAAATAACTTTAGAAAACTTATAGCTGTCTTCTTTGGAATTCTATAGCAGTCTCAACATTTGGTTTGTCTGGTTTGGCAAAATATCCTGAAATATATACTGTGAATTATGAAACATAGTTCACAGACTGCATTTAAAATTTTGTGAGGGATTTAGGAAATTGAAACCAGGCTCTTTCCGTGGATCTCTGTGACCTGAAGCTACCATTTGAGGATAAAGCAGATCAGAATATTCCAGAGATTATGGGGAGAGAAAGTTGGTGAACCGTTGTAATCCTAGGAAGCCATTTTGATTTTCCAAGGTCTTAAATGTTAATTTGCTGCACAGTTCAGAGTACTCCATAGGCGAGGAAAACTTGAATAAAGTTTGCATTATCTTATAGCAATAGTACAAATAACTGTAAAGCCTTGAGAATGGAATACATCTGCTTAATATTTATATAATGAATCTGTAGTCTACATATTACTAGTTTCCACCTTGTCAGCTTCACCTCTTACCATTATTAAGTATACACTGGATGTGTGCAACTAATTTTTAGAACCATTCCATCAAGTAGCAAGCACATTTGGTTTACTTTCAACTCACTGAATATTTTCAAAAGGCCACTATTAATAATGCTGGGAGTGGGGCTTAATTAACACACACTTTGTCCATTTTCTTTGTCATACAAATTTCAAGGAATGACATTTGTTAAAATGCCTAGCTTGAATTAACTGACAATTATTTACTGCATTGAAAGCTAATTTACTGCATTAACAAATTCCCTAAACATAGAGAAACGAGTTGCTATGCAACTATGGACTGTCCAGGTTATGCTGAACAATGAATGAAATCTTTTATATAACATAATAATGAGCATCACTGTCATCATCCATCAGGTTCAGCCCAAGAACAGCAATGAGGCAATCCAGTACAGTTCAGTTCCTTTATTAGCTTGCGCCTAATAGACAGAATCTCGCCAGACTCAACCTATGCTAAAGCAACTAGTGGCTATAACCCGTGAGACTCTAGGGAGGGGCCAGCCTCATCCTCTTCGTCTTCCCACACTCTTGCTGTGGGCTAAGGAGGTGCTTGCCCTGGAATGTCTCTCCCCTCTCCTGACAACCTTGAACTTCCATTCCAGAATCTTCCCCGCTCATGCCATCCATTACATTATCACCCTGAAAAGTTTGTGCTCACCATCCGTGATGCTATTGGCAATGGCTCTTTTGGCCCCCTGAGGCTGAAGAAAAAGTAAAAAGGAAACTGTGGCCGTCCCTGTGAAAGATACTCCACAAGGTTTGGGAGGTCTTCTCTGGCCTCCTGGATAGGGCAACCCATTTTGCAAATTACTGTCTACTCACAGATTGTTTCATCAAACTATCAGACTCTGTCATATAAAAAGAGCAATGTGAATCACAAAAATGTATATAAATCATGTTTAAAATTGGTACTAAAATTATACTTACTTTCCCATGGCTCAGCAAGATGATTCTTACCAAGACAACATTAATATGGGCACCTAAGGACTCATCATGATAGATTTCATTAACCTACAAGAGAACATGAAAATAGACATGTAACATACAATAGTGTGGATAAAGTCTTATGTTAAAAAGTTTTAACAAAAAATCTACTCAATAATAACATGTTTACCTAACAATCAAGCTGTAACACTGTATTAAATTAAAATCTAGTGAATAAAATGCTGGCCATGTCATGTTGAAATACTGTTCTATTTCCCCGATACCAGAAAAGAACAATGAAAATTATTGCTAAGGCAGAAAAGAAAAAGCTCGCTTGTTATGCTTAGGTTATAATTTGCATTCACGTTTTAGTTAAGGAAATTATCCTATTCAATGAGCTTTTGGGATGAAAAGTAGTACAAAACTGTCAAAAGACAATGGGTAAGACTCACCTGTCTCATGAGCTTATGGATTGTAAATTATCAAGTTGCACCTTATCACATTTCTCACTACTTGGAGGTCTCTACACTCGGTTGTATAAGAATAGAGACACTATTGTCCGGTCTAGCCCAAGGAACTCCAGGAGACCATGTAGATTCAGTTCAGCAATGTTTATTAGCTACAACCTCTAGCAGGAATCTTC